CGTTACAAACAGCACATACAGTACACAGGCCACATGTGCAAAACTGCATAATCACCCCATTATGTGAGTGCTTTATATATCTATAAAAACAGTACCAGTGTCAGAATTAGCCGCAGAGTTAATGACTTTTGTAAGAGAGGGGAGGAGGAGTTGCTGTGAGCACACATGCTGGGTTTTACAGGTTTCAGGTTGTTTTTATACTATGACTGCTACTAGGTGTGTTGGAGAATTGCACATGCTTTCTAAATATCCGCTTCTTAGTTTAATTCCCACACTTATCTTACTATTTCTTTCTTATCCCCCCTCCTGCTGACTTGTGCTACTCTTTTTACTTGGTGTACCTACAGTGTGACAGTAAGACTCTCCTTCCCCTCACATACAGTCTGCAGACAGAGAGTTGGCACGGAGGGCAGTAACATGCGGATGTGGCAGCAGCGCATTTAATTGTTTTCAGATATACCGGCCCATGGTGTGCGTGTGTGTATGATTGCAATGCAGGCACTAACACATGTTGGTGTTTCTTTGAAATAGTAAGAGAGCATTTCTCAACACATTTCTAGTTTTACGAGTCAGTATTTTGAGTTGTATTCCTGTTTAACCTTATGATAAGAAGCAACCTTAATTTATAGGGATAGGAAAAATATTTAATCTACAAACTGGTTGTAAACATAGCAATGTATTTCAGCTAATAACTTAAAGGAATGGTATGCTCATGACACTCATTTTTAAATAATTATCATCCGATAAAACAGACCAGTCTCTGCCAGTCTCTCTTTTTTTTTTTTTAATCCGATGACATCAGTGATTTTAAACTGATTAATTACCGAAATAACATCAACACTGTGGGCGGCGCCATTTTACCGGACGTGACGTAAACCATGCGTTTGGTTTCGAGGACACGTTGATGTTCATGTTATTTACTGTAGTTACTCTCTTCAAATATGCCTCATTGTATCGCGAAACATTGCCACAATTCTGATAGGAACAATCCACGGAATGCTCGGTTCCATCTGTTGCCAAAAGGTAAGCGTAGGAAGTACGTTCGGAGGCAGTGGCTAGCGAAATGTTGCCGGCCCGAACCGAAAGATCCACAGGCGCATGTATGCAGCGAACATTTCAAGTTTCCGGACGACTACTCTGAGAGTATGATAAAACATAACATGGGATTTATTGAACAACCATTACTTAAAGAGCCTGTGACACGAGTTTCCCCCATCATCCAAACCCATCAATTTGAGTAAATATTGTCCCCTTGAAAACCGTTACTGAACTGATTTTGGATATTTGTACTTTGATAACCATTAATCTGCCCTTCAATGTTGACCATTTTCTGGATCTTCTCGGGGATTCTTCAAGTCCCGCCAAATGATGTGTGACGTCATTGCGGGCACAGCGCTCCAGCTGCACCGTTCAGGATCCCAGCATCTGCATGTAAACGCACGATGGCGCACACAGCAGCAAGCTCAGACAGCGATGACAGTTTAATTTTGAACGTGTCTGAGAGCTCATATGAGGCTGAAGGATCGGTTTATGTTGTATCTGTTAGAAGTTTAGGACTTAGGTGCGTCAATATGGGCGATCATACGGTCATGTAGCCAGTGGGACTAAAAATCATCCCGGGACTCTCGACCGGCCCACTTCGGTACCGCTAGTAAATTGTCAACAGGGGGAGTGGGGGATGTCAGGGGCGGCAGGTGCTGTAGATAGTAAATGTAAATATGTAAATATTTGTGTCACTGCATCCTGGTAAAATACAAATATAATGCAATGTCTGTGTCTTTGACATTAGCGCTGCTAGCCACCTGTGCCCTGTACTACGAAGCCAGTTCAACAGACCCTGGATATGTTTGAGTAACAAACAAACTAACAACAACAAACTAACAAACGAGATCTCGCTAAGCGGTCCTACGACGCTGGTTATCAACTCGGTAAATCAAGCCAGGGTTTCTCTCTCCAGCTGAGAGCGCGTTCACGTCTAAGACACGAGTGGATCTGACTTTAATTACATTTGACTCGAGTGTTTCGTCAACATAATGTGTTGCTTAAAATAATACTTCTGCATACAGTATGTGACACTGTTAGTGTTGCACGGCCAGATACGGCTGGAGAAGCTGACTCAGATAAGGAAATATATGATATATTATATGATCGATGATCTGATTGATGATGTAATATGAATGATAAGTGCGACACGTCGGCGTCTTCTCTGCATACGGCAGTTTAAACTGTATTTCCTTTATCCTGTAATATGACTTGAGAGATTTAAACTCCGCACACTGAGTTGATCTCTTTTCTATAGACGCCGGAGGCGGGCAGCGTCAGGTAAAAAAAGTTATTTAGCCTTCCCAAACCTGAGCCTCACGCGCCGCCTATGGGGGATGTGCTAGTGATTTATCTGACCGGCCCACTTCGGTACCGGCCCATCGGGATTCGTCCCGATGGCCAGTCCGCCACTGCACCCAGCCCACGTAAACTGTCAACGGGGGGAGCCTCGCTGCGGGGAAACGGTGGACCTAGTGTCCCGATCGGAGTGGGAATAATAATAATAATAATCCGTGCATTTTATCCATTAATTTCCCCAACATTGCGGTGAAAAAACCACACGTTTAATCCATGTTGTTGTACTACAACTACAAAAAGCATCGGTTTGTTTTCTCATCAGGAAATGCAGACCGGCACAAACAAACGATTTTTAATCATCATTCTCACGATCATTTAATCTATCATATATTCGCCGAATTGACATGAAAGCACTAATAAATGTAGTTTCATCCACTTGAGTTTACAACTACAAAAATAATCGATTTGTTTTTATATCACATCCTACAGGAGGAAATTCAGTAGCTCTCACTACCGATTTTTAATCCTAATGTAATCATCATCTTCACCACGATCATTTATGTTTATGTTCGCCGAATTGACATGAAAGCACTGACAAATATGAATATACTGTAGTCAACTTCATTAAAACGTTATTAACGTGCCTAAACTCAGTAATTCACCATTTCTACGCATGACAACACACTTTGTCCGTGTTTAGCTCTCTCGCCGCACAGTGAAGCGTTCCCGCATTGACGTCACTTCCGGCTTCCCCCAAAACTTCAAAATGAGTCGAAGGAATTTCCCCGCGATGTTCGAAATTATTGATATTTAACGGAACGGTATCGCTTTTTCTTTTTTAAACTGACGGTTCGAGATTACTAGTAGCCCAATATTTCATTGCACAACAGTTGTTGGGATGCTGTCACAGGCTCTTTAATGGAGATGCAGTACCATCGGTCTTTCTGGTGTCATCACCGACCAGGACACCAGTTCGGCCAGTTGAGAAATCGCCCTCTGCAAGTGTGAAGCGACGGAGGACCAGAAGTAGTGCTCGGAGTAAGAATAAGGTATGTTATAGCGCATTTCCATTGCAGCGGGTAGCCCCGTTTAAACGTCCTTTATAGTCCAGGCCAGGCCAGTTTTTGGTGGCCTTTCCATATAGCGTAGTACCGGCTAGTGGGTATTTTCCCCCAGTTTTTCCGGCCCCATAAAATCGTGGTTCTAGGGCCAGGGACAACGAGGCTGAGTATGCTAAACTAGAGAGGGAATCACAGCTTTTTCTAACACCACAGTGTCGAATTCCCTGTGTAAACATATGCAATCCAAGTCGTCTGTGAACAGTTTATTTTCAAGCTCTTCAAGCTCATGACAACATATGTTCATAAGAGGATTGTCCATGGCTACACACCGATCGCAAGTACACCATTCATGTACAGGTCTTCCTACTCGCCTCCCGAAATCAATTGCACGAGTAAAGGGATCGTCTCCAGCAAGATCACCGTGCTGTTCATCCTCATCGTCACTGTCCCTGGATTCCTGACGGTTCTGACTACTAGGCTCGAACCTGTATGGCTGAATTCCCCCATCCAATCTCTTCATATTGCTCAAAACTTCTTCCTCGGCTAACGAGTCCGAACTCAAATACTCCGCCATGTTTTCGTGTGTTTACAAAGTGAACGCATGGATGACGTCACGACCATCACGTGACTACTGAAAATGGCCAAAATGGCAGCGGCCTGACGGAATATACAGGTTTTGATAAAAAAGAGCTATAAAATCATTATTTACCGAGGAATATCGCTGATTTCTTCAGGGTATGGTTTAAACATAATGTTTCACTAAATACTGAAGTTTTGATTAATTATCTAATGAGTGGAGCATTCCTTTAAATACTGAACCATTGGGTCCATGTTCCATACATCACAGAGCCTACTATCCTACATTGCAAGATACAGTGAATGGTTGTAATTCTCCAACACCATTGGAAAAAAACAACAACTGCAATCTTGTAAATAGAAGGGTGAGTCGAGAATAGTATAAGAAAAGTACATCCGACACTGAAATTAAATAATGCTTCACAGAAAGTTTCTATAACAGGAGTATCTTTAGATCTTGGATCAGTTTCGAGGTGTTAGAACACACGTGAATCCTGATTTTAATCGGATCAGCAGTTGGTCAAACAGTAAAAAAGCAGCCTACGGTTTGTGTTTGGACTCTTTCCGCTATGAGAAACACTCCGCTCCTCCAGAGTGTGCTAAATAAATAGGGGCTCCCTTTTGTACGAGCCTTGTTAAATATTGGTTTGCTTTCAATGCCAGATATTTCTCCTCGCTCTGCCTTAGCACTATGCATGTGTTGCTCAGTGTTTGAATTTGTTCAAGCAATGAGAGCACAGCTTCAGTGTTGCATTCATATTAATGGCTGTTAAATTAGTGCCCATGTGAAAGCTCCTGGCTGACAGGAAGGGGGAAAGTTTATGGATCTACTTTCTGGATAGTTGACCCCAAGACATACAGTACCTCCTCAAATTCACCCTCTTGGTACTGCACATGCTCCAGTGTGCTAACTAGCTTTACTGCGGCTAAGGAGTTATTACAGCCCTGTCTATTTATCCCTGACCTCTGCTCTGTGGTTTTACCCTCTGTCTTTCTGAGTGACCTTTCACCCCTGTGTATCAGAGCCGGACCAGAGAAGCCGGCACAGTCTCAGGGGTCACCACGGGACGACGAGACCAACCTGTCAGCCAGGAGCTCAACCCTCCTCACCCAGACCTCCCTCTCCCTCCCCTCCCCCTCCTCCTCCTCCTCCTCCACCTCCTCCTCCTCCTCCTCCCCCACCACCACCACCACCACTTCCTCCCCATCTGCCTCCTCTACCTGCTGGACAGGGCAAGGATGCAACAGCTCCAACCAATAACCACCGGGGACAAGAACGAAAAGGTGAGCCTCATGCAGTCATTACAGATGTTTTTATATACCTACTAATTATCTGATGTGGTGTTTCTAACTTATAACGATCCTTAAAGGTGGGGTAGGTAAGTTTCAGAAACCGGCTCGAGTGCACTAAAATTTGAAAGTACACAGCCGAAAAGAATCCGCCCCTTCCTTCAGACTTCCTTACAGAGCACCTCCTCCAACACACATGAACGCGCACATGACGTCAGCAGACTGGTGAAAGTGGCCGCCTGTTGCTGGCGAGTCATTGAAGTACTGCTGCAATGCACGCCCAATGACGGCACGCCCAATGAGGGCACGAGATACATTTGTGCGTGCACGAGATGGAAGGCTGACAGACAGGCAATCCAATCCGTTTAGCCGGCCCGGCTAAACGGATTGGTCGTGCTTTTTACAGTACTACGGCTTCCACAGATGACATTTTTTAATGGATTTTTTGTCAAAGCACTTAAGATATTCATTGCTATCGGGATGTTAAGAGCATTCCATGGAATATAACAAAAAGTGTATCTCGAGCCGGTTTCTCAAACTTACCTACCCCACCTTTAATTATTTACAGTACACTTGGTCCCCTGCTAATAACAGAAGAAATCCCCATTATAGTATGTTTATAATTCATTATAGACATTAGCATCATAGGAACTTTTACCATAATATCGTCCTCTGCTCCCAAGTGTGTGTGTCATCGTATGCAACAAGTTTAGTCTACTGGAACAAGATGTGACATGCTGGTACATCTGAACACAGCTAAGCACAAAGAATGCTGCCCTAAGGTGTGTGTGTGTGTGTGTGTGTGTGTGTGTGTGTGTGTGTGTGTGTGTGTGTGTGTGTGTGTGTGTGTGTGTGTGTGTGTGTGTGTGTGTGTGTGTGTGTGTGTGTGTGTGTGTGTGTGTGTGTGTGTGTGTGTGTGTGTGTGTGTGTGTGTGTGTGTGTGTGTGTGTGTGTGTGTGTGTGTGTGTGTGTGTGTGTGTGTGTGTGTGTGTGTGTGTGTGTGTGTGTGTGTGTGTGTGTGTGTGTGTGTGTGTGTGTGTGTGTGTGGTGTGTGTGTGTGTGTGTGTGTGTGTGTGTGTGTGTGTGTGTGTGTGTGTGTGTGTGTGTGTGTGTGTGTGTGTGTGTGTGTGTGTGTGTGTGTGTGTGTGTGTGTGTGTGTGTGTGTGTGTGTGTGTGTGTGTGTGTGTGTGTGTGTGTGTGTGTGTGTGTGTGTGTGTGTGTGTGTGTGTGTGTGTGTGTGTGTGTGTGTGTGTGTGTGTGTGTGTGTGTGTGTGTGTGTGTGTGTGTGTGTGTGTGTGTGATTAGAACACCCCCATATACAATTAAAATTAAAAACACACATTTGTCCATATTTCATTATTTTTATGTTTTTTGATCAGGGACATTTTAAGTTCTAAAAACGGACATGTTAGCAAGCAGAAATGCATCAACTTCCGCATTCACTTGTGGTCGTGTTTCAACCAGTGATACACATATACAGTACCAGTCAAACGTTTGGACACACATTCTCATTCAATGGTTTTTGTTTATTTTAATTGTGTTCTACTTTGTTGATTAACATTGCAGACATCAAAACTATGAATGAACACATGTGGAATTTTCTAGTTAACAAAAAAGTGTTAAAAAATCCTGAATATGATTTTTATTTTAGATTCTTCAAAGTAGCCCTGTTTTGCCTTGATGACAGCTCTGCACACTCTTGGCTTCTCTCAGTCAGCTTCATGAGGTCGTCACCTGGAATGGTTTTCTATTAACACGTGTGCCTTGTCAAGAGTCCATTTGTGGAATGACTTGCCTTCTGAATGTGTTTGAGACCATCAGTTGTGTTGTGCAGAGGTAGGGTTAGTGCACAGTGGAAAGCCCTATTTGAATACTGTTGTAATCCATATTATGGCAAGAACCACTCAGAGACTCAGAAAAGGTGAGCGGATGGTTTCTGCATGTGTGGTTCCCACCGTGAAGCATGGAGGAGGAAGTGTGAGGGTGTGGGGGGGCTTTGCTGGTGACACTGTTGGTGAATAATTCAGAATTCAAGGCACAGATAACCAGCATTCTGCAGTAGCCAGCAAAATATAAATCATATTCTGGATTTTGTTTGTTTACTAGATCATTCCATATGTGTTCTTTTATAGTTTTGATGTCTTCAGTATAAATCTACAATGTAGAAACAATTCAAATGAATAACAAACCTGGAATGAAACTTTTGACTTGTAGTGAACATCCAATAATCCCTCCCTTTTTTGTTCTGTTTTGGTCTCCTCCGACTCATTAGAAAAGTTTCTAATTAAAAAATACATGTTATGCTGCTAAATGCAAGTCGCTAATTACAGTAAACCTTCTTGTACTGTAAATGGGGTTTATTGGAGCTCATATTAGCTTCATGTTGCTATTTAATACATATTACATCTATGTACTGTAAGTGGTGGTAATGGTTCAATTGTGCGATCAAACTAAAACAAATAACTAAGAAAGGAACATTTGGATGATGATTCTCTGTTGGTTTATAACTGTGATTGAAACACATTACACTCTCTCTAAGTTCTAATTATCTACTGTTCTGCAGTAATGCAATGCAAAAGCATCATATTAAGGGCCTGAAACAACAAATATTCACCTTCTTCTAGACATTTCTAGTTTCTACCATAGCAGGAAAAGCACAACATTTTAAAGAGGACATATTATGTTCATTTTCAGGTTCATAATAGTATTTAGTGTCTCTACTGTGACATGTCTCCATGCTCTAATGTTCAAAAAGCTCTTTATCTTTCTCATACTGCCTGTGCTGCAGCACCTCTTTTCACCCTTTGTCTGAAACCAGAGCCCAGTCTGCTCTGATTGGTTAGCTGGCCGGCTCTGTTGTGATTGGTCAACCGCTTAGAGATGTTCCTCGCCTAAGCCTATCACGTACAATGTGTTGGAGCGCTAGCCAATACAAGCAAAAGTGTTACGTAGGGATGTTATTATGTTATATAATTTAGTTGGAATGCTGATACAGCATTCCAACTATCTGTTATGCTACGCACGAAATTCTTTATTATTCCGCCGGGTTATTTTGCGCCTCTTCTGCTCCCACATTCCACATCGCAGAAACTCCGTTCAAACATCAAAACGTTCAGCTCGGTCTGGAATCGATGGCTATTACTTTTCTCATTCATAACTTTCATAATTCCAGAGATACATCCCATAATTCATCACATTTTTAACATGGAAGTCAATGGAGAAACTCTTCAGACTTGAAAAATCTTCATGCGACTTCAACTTCAACTCCTTCATACTTTCACTCAGAAACCTCATTCCAACTTTAAAATGTTACACATCTTTCTGACATTATTCGTGTTAAACAACTTTTAAATCTGATTCATACTTTTAGAAATATTACAATTTTTCAGACCTTGGTAAAGAGGCCTTCTTCAGATTTTAACATTAGCGTGTATTGAGCAGCTCGTTCATTTGCGTGATGTCACAGCTAGAGTGGAGGACAGCTTGAAATTCGCCTTCATATTTTTTTTAAACCTGCCATAATTCCCAAACCCTACATTCCTGAGACATCATTTGTCATGACAAACATAGGAAAACATCTCGCAGCTTGAGAATTGAAAAAAAATGAAGCAAAATAATTAAACAAAATGCCTCTTCAATTCAATTCAATTCAAAACCTTTATTTATACAGATAAAACCCATTGAGATCATAGACCTCTTTTACAATGGTGACCTGCTTCAATTAGTTCCAAACATTAATACAAACATGACAGAAAACAAAGGACATTATATGATACTACAGTTTGTATACTAGTAGCATTTACAGACACCAATATTTTCTGATTGTATAGCGTCTATCCTAGCTTTAAAAACATGAAATGGAATCAAACTGCTTAGCTTCCATTCCTTTTGTAGACTGTTCCATGCTAGCGGCGCTGCGCATCTAAAAGCTGTATTTCCTAATACAGTCCTAGCAGTTGGCACATGTAATACAACCACAGCTTTAGATCTCAGGCAGTAGCCATTTACAATACGCTGTGAGATCAGGGAACAGATGTAAGACGGAAGTTTCCCTAACATTGCTTTATAAATAAAAAGATACCAGTGATTTAGCCGCCGTACAGTAAGTGAAAGCAACCCTGCCCTTGTATACAGGGTACAATGATGAGTCAAAGTCTTACAGTCTGTCACAAACCTTAGTGCACTATGATAGGCGGCATCTATCTTGGTGAGGTAATTGGCCGGCGCATTCATATAAAATAGATCACCATAGTCCAGCACAGGTAAAAAGGTCACAGTGACTAGCCTTTTCCTGGCCTCAAGAGAGAAACAGGACTTGTTTCTATAAAAAAAAACCTAGCCTAACCCTCAGTTTTTTAAGCAGGTTATTTACATGCAGTTTAAAAGAAAGACAGTCATCAAGCCAGATACCAAGGTATTTGTAAGAGGTTACCACTTCAAGTTTTTTTCCTTGCATGGTTACAATATCTAAAACAGGCTCTGGTGACTTTTTAGCTTTTGAAAAGAGCATTAACTTGGTTTTATCCACATTTAAAAGAAGCTTAAGCGCTGAGAGCTGAGTCTGAACAGTGTTAAAAACAGTCTGTAATTTAACAACAGCCTCCTTAACTGAGGTACCTGCACAATACATCACAGTATCATCCGCATAAAAATGTAAGGTAGCTTCCTCCACATTATCACCCAAGCTATTAATATAAATGGAGAATAAAAGTGGCCCTAGAACAGAACCCTGAGGTACACCATTAGAAATGCTCAACCACTCAGAAGTGAGCCCATCAAAGTGTACACATTGGGACCTTTCAGAGAGGTAGTTCACAAACCACCCCACTGCAAGGCTGGACAAGCCAATGCTGAGTAGCCTCTGTTTTAAAATGCGATGATCGACGGTATCAAACGCTTTAGAGAGATCAATAAACAGAGCTGCACAACTCTGCTTATTATCTAAAAAACTAGCGATGTCATTTACAACTTTCATTGTGGCAGTGATGGTGCTA